CATCACTTTTTCCAACAATAATACCTAGCACGTACTTGCAGCATACACCGCTACATATGAGCGGTATGTTCCTCCTGTATATGCCACTTGAGAGCCTGCCTTTATAGCGCCCGTCAGAGTGCCATACGATATTGATCAATATGCTGAAATGGAGAGAGAAGCAAAGTACAAGGAAGAAGAATTATTGTCAGAGCAGTTGCGAGTGTTGAGAAAGAAAATGAAGAATCTCTAGGTTGCTCGAGGGTGCGAGAGCCTAGATTATGAAGACGTGTGTATACATTTTGATATGACATGCTCGTAGGGTATAAGCCTCTGAAGTTCGACATCTTTCATGAAATGGGTGATCCCCACGCACATTTGAGAATCTACTGCGACAAGCTGGTCGGGGTAGGAAGAAATGAAAAGCTGAGAATGAAGTTATTTATAAGGAGTTTGACATGAGAAGTGCTCACTTGGTACACTTGGGAGGACCCCAAAAATCGGAGAGAGGCAAAACATGATGTAGGATTTCATGAACCATTTCCGATTTAATACCGAGATCACTCCAGATAGGTTCACCTTAGTGAATTTGCAGAAGAAACCATCAGAGTCATTTCAGAAGTATGCCCGCCACTGGAGGTCAGAGGCTGCCAGGACCCATCCCCCACTAGACGATAATGAGCTAACCAAGTACTTCATCAGGACCTAGGAGAGAATTTACTTTGAAAAGATGATGGGTATGATGGGTTAGAAATTTCCCGAGCTGGTTAAGATGGGAGACTTTTTGGAAGAAGGAATCAAATTAGGCAAGATACAATCTATGGCCGCACTGTAAGTTGCCAGCAAGGCAATTCAATCTGGTTCTATAAGCAGTGGGAAAAAGAAGAAGGAAGAAGTATCAATAATTATTCCCTACTATCAGTCCAGTCCACCTCGCAGAAACAACTATTACCCCATGAATACCCATCCTTCACACCAACCCACCTACGCTCTAGTATATATCACACAACAATACTATAACGCCCAACCTTAATACAACCCACCTCGCACCTATATAAATCCAAACCCACCATGACCATATGATCCAGTCCAAACCACCACCCATCCAAATAGACCCGCCTGTGCACCACACGTATACCCAAATTTTGAATAAAGAAATCCCAGGAACTACCCCTAACTGATGACTCCTTAGCCTAGTTGTTTGAAAGGCTTAAGAGAGCCGGTTTGGTATACCCGGTGGAAGGGAGAATTCTTGACCAATCTTCCAAATACTTTGATGCAACCAAGCATTGTGCCTACCATTCAGGTGTTCCTAGGCACGATACTGAGAATTGCTTTAGGCTGAAAAATGAGATTGAACTGCTAATCAAGAGTGGGGCCATCTAATATACTTCGACTCTACCGAATGTGAATCGTAACCCACTGCTGAACCATAGAAATCAAGGAGCTAACATGATTACATTGGACGAAGATTATGATCTGAAGGGGACCATCGTCATAATTAGGAATGCCGAGGCTGTAAGAGTTCCACCCCGAAAGACTCCATTGATTACTATACAGTTGAAACCACCGGTGATGGTCCAAAAATACCAACAACGGTCCACCACCGCCATCAGAAATGAGGAAAGTTGAGAGTACAAGACACTGCCATGGGCGTACCAGCAAAAAGAAAAGGGTAAAATGAAAGACTCTATAGCTGCTCATAGGATGACCAGGTCAGGAAGGTGTTACACTCTAGAGGAGATAAATTGAGGAAATATAAGTAGAGAACATAATTAAAGAAGAAACATAACGGATACTGAGATAGCAAAATTTTGGAGGAAGATGCCAGTCGAAGAATATTTTGTGGAGGAATAGTTAAGAAAGACCCATGCACACATATCGATCATGGATCTACTGATGAGCTCCAACATACATAGGGATGCCTTGGTAAAGGTGTTAAGTGGAGTAAGTGTGCCAATAAATACTACCTACGAGGCATTAGCAACAACCATTGGAAAAATGGACAAAGCAAACATGATTTCCTTTCGGAGGGATGAACTCCTTGTAGAGGGTATGGATTATAACAACGTTCTGCACATCACAGTCAAGTTGGGGATAAAGTTATATCTCGAGTGCTCATCGATGGAGGATCCGGAGTGAACATTTGTCCGTTCTCTACTCTACGAGAATTGGGTATTCATATGAGGGAGGTGAAGGAAAGACATGTGAGAGTAAGGGCTTTTGATGGGTTACAGAAGGATGTCATCAGATAGATCTACTTAGCCTTATAGATTGGACCAGTTGAGTTCTCGATATTATTTCAAGTGATGGACATTTCGTCTTCCTATTTGCCGGGAAGGCCCTGGATACATATAGCATGGGCAGTACCATCCACCCGCTATCTGTGTATGAAGTTTGAGTGGGATTGCCAAACGATTTTAATTCATGGAGAATGGAGCCGATCAGCTTATTTGGTGAATGCAGTCCCTTTTATAGAAGGATTGAACGGGGTCACCTTTCATGCGGTCGAGATTATGCAGGCCACATAGATGGAGAAGAACGAGCAGAATCATGGAATGCAGCCATCGTACAGATCAAAGATGGCAATGAGAGAGATGATGAAGTATGGGTACCGACCGGGGACCGAGTTGGGAGCTCGATCTGATGGGATAATAGAACCGATTGAGCCAAAATGGCAGAAGGGTACCGCTGGCTTAGGATATTAACCTACAACTATTAAGACTTATATGGGTAACCTTGGGAAGAAGGCCTTTGTACCAGAGTGTGTTCCGGGTCCGGCTCAGGGCTCAGCACCAGAGCATGACATTGTTGATGGAATGGGAAGATTGTTTGTGACTATGATCGAGAAATGTTGCGACGAAGCTGATATCAAGACATTGACCATTCAGGATGCCGAACCAGGAGAGGCTTTGCAGAATTGGACCGCCGGTTCGTCTCTAGTTTGCCGGGAGTCTTGATAGTATGGAATTATAGTGATTTTAAAAAAGAAAATGCATGGTCAATTGAGGCTTGAACCGTGCCTGTACTTTTTTGTCAATTGCCTCCTTGAACACTTAGACGTTCCCCTTTTGATGAAATAAAAAGAACTTTTCTTGATATCATTGCAAATTCATTTTTTAGTTCTAATTTATACTTAGTTTTTCTTTTCAGTTATCAAATCGATAAAAACTCACATTCCTTGATTATGACATGTAACGAAACCCTCAATCAAAACAATCGAGACTACGAAGAGTACGATGAGAGCATGGTGCCTGAGATCCTCCCATAAGAGATCAAGTAGTTCAAAAGCCAGAATAACCCCAACCTTGAAGAAACAAAAGTAATCAACTTAGGAAATGAAAAATGAGTTAAAGAAACTCGAATCAGCATCCATCTAGAGGCAGAACAGAAAGAGGATTTGGTAGAGCTCCTCTGACAATACATCGATGTGTTCGTTTAGTCATATGACGATATGCCTGGATTATGCATCAACATTGTCTCACACCAGCTACCCACTAATCCTGCCAGACTGCTAGTCAAGTAAAAACCCAGAAAATTCAAGCCAGATTTGAGTTTGAGGATAAAAGAAGAAGTCACCAAGCAGATAGAGGCAAATGTAGTGAGAGTCACCAATTATCCTACATGGTTGGAAAACTTCGTACCTGTACCAAAGAAGGATTTGAAGATTAGGATATGTATGGAATATTGAGATCTCAATAAGGCTAGTCCAAATGATGATTTTCCTCTACCAAACATCCATATCTTTATCAAAAATTGCGCGAAACATAAGTTGCAGTAGTTCGTGGATTGTTTTGGCGGGTACCACCAGATCCTGATGCATGAAGAAGATGCGGAGAATATGACGTTCACTACGCCATGAGGAGTTTATTGATACAGGGTCATGCCATTTGGTCTCAAGAAAGTCGGTGCTACCTATATGAGGGCCATGGCGACCCTCTTTCATGACATGCTCCACAAGGAAATAGAGGTATATGTGGATGATGTCATAATCAAGTCTCGTAGAAGTGCAGATCATTTTGAGACTTGAAGAAGTTCTTTAAACATTTGTGGAGGTACAGTTTGAAGTTGAACCCTGCAAAATATGTATTCGGAGTCCCCGCCAGAAAACTATTAGGTTTTATCGTTAGCAGGAAAGGGATAGAGTTGGATCCTTCAAAGATCAAGTCCATTGAAGATTTTCCACCACCTAAGAGTAAGAAAGACGTGATGAGTTTCCTCGGTAGATTAAACTACATCAGCAAGTTCATAGCTCAGTCAACGGTAATCTGCGAGTCTATTTTCAAGTTGTTAAAAAAGGATGCCGCTACAAAATGGACAAGAGAATGTTAGAAAGCTTTTGACAGGATTAAGGAATATTTATCAAATCCACCAGTGTTAGTTCCTCCCGAACCCGCGAAGCCGTTGTTACTATACTTGTCTGTCCTAGATAACACGTCTATATTCGTGTTGGGACAACATGATGAGACTGGAAGGAAAGAGCAAGCTATCTATTACCTGAGCAAGAAGTTTATGCCGTATTAGGCCAAATACACTTTGTTAGAACGGACATGTTAAACTTTGACATGGATCACTCAGAAGTTAGGGCACTATATGACATCATACACTACACATCTGAAATCCTAACTCGACTCGCTTAAGTACATTTTCCAAAAGCCGACGCCTATAGGAAAGTTGGCTAAATGGCAGATTTTTTACAATGAGTTTGATATTGTGTACGTAACACAGAAAGATATCAAAGGAAAAGCATTGGCCGATCATCTCGCAGAGAACCCAGTGGATAAGGATTACCACTCACTACATACTTCCCAGATGAAGAAGTGTTATTCACAGGGGAGGATATTGCAGAGTCATACCCAGGATGGAGAATGTTTTTCAATGGAGCAACACATTTTAAAGGTGTAGGGATCGAGGCAGTCCTAATTTCTAAAACAGGACAACACTACCCAGCCTCAACCAAGATAAGGTTCCCTTGCACAAATAATATAACAAAATATGAAGCATGCACCCTTCGGCTAACAATGGCAGTCGACATGAACATCAAGGAGCTTCTGATCATAAGAGATTCTGGTTTATTAATACATCAATTTCAAGGTGAATGGACCACCAAAAAGGTCAAAATCCTTCGGTACCTGCACTGCGTGAACGAGTTGTGCAAGAAATTCATGAAGATCGAGTTCAAACATGTTCCCAAAATTCAGAATGAGTTTGATGACGCTCTTGCAACCTTGTCCTTTATGATCCAGAATTCACACAAGAATTACATCAACCCCATTGAGATAGAGGTTCGGGATCAACATGCGTATTGTTTCCATGTAGATGAAGAGCCATGCGGTAAGATGTGGTACTATGATATCAAAAGGTTCCTTGAAGCAAGAGAATACCCAGAGAATGCCACTAGTGGTCAGAAACGACATTAAGAAGACTAGCAAATCACTTTTTCCTTAACGGGGAAGTCCTGTACAGGAGGACCCCAGACTTGGGTCTGTTAAGATGTGTACATGTCGTCGAAGCAACAAGACTACTGGAAGAAGTGCACGCAGGAATGTGCGGACCTCATATAAATGGTTTCACTTTATCCAAGAAAATTTTAAGAGCCAGATACTTTTGGATGACCATGGAATGTAATAGTATCCACTACGTGCAGAAATGTCACCAGTGACATATTCACAGGGATTCATCCAGGTTCCACCTAATGAGCTGAATGTAATGGGTTCTCCTTGGTTGTTCGCCGCTTTGTGCATGGACGTGATTGGACCTGTAGAACCCGTCGCATCAAACAGACATCATTTCATCCTAGTAGCCATCGACTACATCACCAAATGGGTCGAAGCATCAACATATAAGGCCGTCACGAAGAAAGTGATGGCAGATTTTGTCTGTAATAACATAGTCTGCAAATTCGGGATCCTAGAGTCAATCATCACTGACAATGCATCCAATCTCAATAGCGATATCATGAGGGAGATTTGCAAAAAGTTCGAAATCATCCGCCCGCAACTCCACAGCCTATAGTCCGCAAATAAATGGAACAGTCTAAGCAGCCAACCAAAACATCAAAAGGATTCTACGAAAGATAGTGGACAATCACAGACAATGGCACGAAAAGGTATCATATGCTTTATTTGATTGCTGGACTACTATGAGAACGTCCGCTGAGGAAACGCCATACATGTTGGTATATGGTACTGAAGCTGTGATACCCACAGAGAGTCGAGATACTATCTTTAAGAGTCATTCAAGAAGCCAAGTTAAATGATACAGAATGGATATAAGTCAGGCAGTAACAACTTTCTCATTGATGAAAAGAGAATGGACGTAGTATGTCATAGTCAGCTGTATCAAAATAGGATGGCTAACGCATTCAACAGAAAGGTGAAACCTCGGAAATTCACATTAGGGCAGTTAGTTTTGAAGAAGATATTCCCCTATCAGGAAGAAGCCATGGGAAAAGTCATACCAAACTGGCAAGGTCCTTATGTGGTCCATTGAGTTTTGTCGGGAGGATCATTGATCTTAGCAGAAATGGACGGCAGATTTTGCACGAAGCCCATCAACTCAGACGCAATCAAGAGATACTACATCTGAAGAAAGTAGAATTAGGGTTTGGTTGTAACAGAATTACGCCCGACCTGACTTCCCACAAGGGTATATGTAGGCAACCCATGTAGGGTCCAGTTTCTACCTATTTCCTTCCCTCTTTTGTAATAAAAAATCCAAATATCTTTTTTGTATGTATTCGGAACTACGCCACGACTTGATTTCCTTTGGCGGAAATACGCAGGCAATCCATGCCAAATTCATTCATCTAATGTAATTGAACTACATTTTAGCCTGATTCCATTTGGATACGTAGACAATCTGAGTCAGACTTGTCCACTTCATTTCAATCCATTATCACTTTGTGTCACGACCCAATTCCATCTCTTTGGCCGTGATGGCACCCAACACCTTTACTAGGCAAGCTAACAGTGAACAATCTAATGTTTTCCCCATTTTAATAAGTTTTTTTTCAAGTAATTTACTTTCCTTAATTTAATAGGTTTAGTAAGAAATAGATTTAAACTAATAGAATGAAAGCAGATGAATGTATTTATGGCCATAGAAATAAAACCAAAATCACAAGTCTACTAGTGTGTGCCAAGATCTGGTGTCACAAATGTGTGGGCTACTAGTAGAATATACAAAAGATCTCTACTCTACTGTCTGAAATAGAATAGACCAAAAATAAATCAAAAGAGAGACTACAGCTATTGCTGAACGGCTCGGAAAGGCAGCTCACTGTGGGGTCTCGGACCAGAAGTCAAACGTGCATGCCAGACTGATAACCAGATGCACCTGCCTCAGATCATGCATATCAAGTGCAGAAGTGTAGCATGAGTACATAAACAACATGTTCCCAGTAAGTATCTAGTCTAACCTCGAAGATGTAGTGACGAGGGGTCGACTTCGACACTTACTATAGGCCAAAAATATAATAGTATGAAGTTCTAGTTAAACATAATGTATAAAATGATAATAGAACCCAGAGCAGGAAAATAAGTAAACAATCCTTTCATTTCAAGTAAGAACCAAGTCATTTCTCTCGTCCAATCCTTTCACCTTTCAAGTCCATGGAACAATATCAAATATAAAGGGGTTCCAATATCTTTACGCACGAATTATGCCGAGGACGTATGACCCGATCCAAATATACATATAAATATACTGTGCACTGCCGAGGGTCGAATGGCCCAAACCATAGATACATCCATTAACATGCCGAGGCGAACGGCCCGCTCCCATGAGAGTAGTAAAAATTTACCCCGCTCGCGGAATATATTTGCGAAGCGGTTGAATATAGATTTTCTCAAGTTATCATAACATTTCTCAATTCTTTTTTTTTTCAAAATAAGAAATTCATCTAGGAACCCTTAAAATATTGTAATCCTCAACCTCCGCTTTAATCCAAACAATTAGTAAGCATAAACAAGCAATGATATCAACAAAATATGGTGTAAGCCTAAATCTACCCGGACATAAGCATGAATAGTAGCTACGCACGGATTCTCGTCACTTCGTACGTACGTAGCCCCCACAAATAGAAGTACATAATGATTAAGTTCACCTATGGGATTAATTCCCTCTTACAAGGTTAGAAAAGAGACTTACCTCATTTCAAGGCCTACTTCCCGGTCTAAGAATGAGCTCACACCCTCAATTGGTGCCGAATCAACCCAAAACTAATCAAATGGTATATAAACTAATCAATACATGCTCAAAAGTTCGTATTCCAACTATTAAAGAGGTTACCCAACCCTAAGTGTAAGATTCTTAAAATTCACCCCTGGCCAACATGCCCAAATTCCGAAAATTTTCGAAGAAAGTTGTTACCCCTAACCTCATGAACTCAAATATATGATTTTTACATATTCCATAATGAATTTCATGATTAAATCTAATTTTTATCAAAAACTTAGGTTTTTCTCCTAAACCCATGATTTTCACTAATTTACATGTTATAACCTACCCATAAGTTATGTATTTGACTCATGTTTAGTAGGAATTACTTACCTCAAGGTGTTAGATGAAAATCCCCTCTCTAAGAGCTCCAAGAATCGCGCAACAATGGAATAAATGAGCCAAAATGACTAAGTCCCGCATTAAATGGAGGATTTTGGCTTCAGCGGTTTCCGCACCTGCGGAGGGACTTTCGCTTCTGCGGTCAAAACTTTGCTTTTGCGGAACAGGCCTGGCCACTCGCCCATCGCACCTGCGGAGCCAGGGCCGCTCTTGCGCAACCGCTGCTGCGGACGTCTCTTTCGCGCCTGCGGACATAGACGATTTTGCGGTCACAGTCATCGCACCTGCGCGTTCGCAGGTGCACCAAACTCCTCGCTCATGCGGATCCTGGGCAGCCTTGGCTTGCTCGCTTCTTCAGCTCCTGGCTCGCACCTGCGGCTGGCCAAGCACAAGTGCGATTACACCAGCAGCTGGGAACTTCAGTTGTTGCTCCCAAGTTTCAATTTGGTCCGGGCCTCGTCCGATCGATACCTGGGGCTCCCGAGGCCCCGCCCGAACATACCGACAAGTTTGAAATCATAAGACGTACCTACTCGAACCCTCGGAACGTCCCAAACGATATTAAAACTAAGAATCACACCCCAAACTAATTGGATCAAAAATATGAACTTTAAGTTCTTCAATTTACTCCCAAAGCGCCGAAACGTACTTACACTACTCGGATTGACGTCAAATTTTGCGTGCAAGTTTTAAATGACATTACGGAACTACTCCAACTTCTGGAACCTGAATACGAACCCAATATCAAAAGTACACCCTCGGTCAAACTTTTCAAAAACTTCAAATTTTTATTATTTTGCCAAATGATCCCAAAACGATCTACGGACCTCCAAATCCAATTCCGGACATGCCCTTAAGTCCAGAATCACCATACAGAGCTATTCCCAGGCTCAGAATCCCAAATGGACGTCTAAAATGTAAAGATCCACTTCAACCCAAACTTATGAAATTCACACAAAAAGCCAACTTTCACTATTAGGCGCCGAAACACTCCCTGGTCATCCAAAACCCGACCCGAGCATACGCCCAAGTCCGAAATCATCATACGAACCTATTGGAACCGTCAAATCCTGATTCTGAGGTCGTTTAATCAAAATGTTGACCAAAGTCAAACTTATCCTTTTAAGGCCAACTTAAGGAGCCAAGTGTTCTGATTTCAGTCCGAACCCTTCCAAATCCCGAACTAACTATCCCCGCAAGTCATAAAACAGTAAAAGCACGTACATGAAGTCTTATTTAGGGGAACGTGGTTCAAGAAAGCAAAACGACCGGTTGGGTCGTTATACTTTGCATTTATTATAATCGAACTACGTTTTGACCTGATTCTATTTGGATATGTAGGCTGCTTGAGTCATGCTAGGCCATCTTCATAATTCATTCATCATTATATTATCCTCAAACTATGTTCATACTTGATTCTGTTCGAATATGTAGGTAGCCTGAAAAGGTTCGATCAGAACCCTAGGAAACCTTTGTAATGCATTTGTTTAGATTAGGACGCGATCATGACAAAAAGAAGCTACGTCATTAGGGGCATCTCCAGAATCATCAGCAACGGGATAAAGTCATTTCAGAAAATGACGCTCGTGTCGGAGGGAACTTCTAAACATATCGTAATCCAGAACGACAACACTTGCCATAAAAATGAACATTTTTAAAAATGTTTTCTAGAAAATTATCGTTTCACCTACCAAACTTCGTGGAATAATCTCACCAGATCCAGGGCAAGGCCAGGCCCGTGATCAACACAAACCAACAGCCCCTCCCTCTACTAAGACTTTTTCTTTGAGTGCAGGACCAATGGGAATCGAAGAATACTGGGCATATTAGGAACAAGACGGATCCGCTACCATCTCAT